TTTTTTTTTTTTTTTTTTTTTTTTTTTTTTTTTTTTTTTTTGTGGTAAATTATAAGAAGTGGATAATATAATTACTTAAATTATAAATTATATTTACACCAATTTAAACTTTATTTTAATTTGCTATGTTTTTCCACTAATTTTAATTAGTCGAGGCTTAATTGGAAGTTAATCCAAACTATAATTTAATTAAAATTTGAAATGAATGGCGCAGATCTTAGCGATCCTGAACGAGATGCCGGCAAGTTGCCGGAAGTACCAATTCACAATGGCAATGGCAGAGAAGATGATGGACGAAAACGCCAAAGGCGGCCAGTTCGAGCTTCTGCAGGTGAACCGGTCCGCGCTCTCCGCCGCCTTCGCCCGTACCTCTACGCTGCTATACGACTCACTCAAGCGGACCAGAGATTTCGAAGAACGAACCAGAGCCGGTTCATGGCCGTCGCGGATCATCGCCGCCCTCCCATTCGGAGACTACGTCACTCCGTACCTTAAATTGGTGGATCTTGCGGTGAGTGCCGTCCGGACCATCGTCCCCAAGGCGGAGACATTGAACGCTAGAAGATCGGAGACGGGAATCATGGAGGGGGAATCCGGCGGCGATGTGGTAGCGGAGAAGCTCGGTCAGGAATTAATTTGGATGACGAACAAGCTACGGGAGTACGGCGCGGTAGATGAGGCTATATTACAGTGGAGCTTCGCCGGCTGCCTGGCCTCTGTTTCCGTCGGCTGTAATCCGAGAATCCAGTGGTGCTTCGTCAAGATCTCAGCGACTCTGTTCCAGGATCTGGCGGGGAAAGAAATGGAGGAGATGATAACATCGGAGGTAAAATTCCGAATGCTATCTCTATGGCTGCCATTGCTGTGCTACGCCCGAAACGGATTAACCTTCCCAGCGCTGATGAGGTACGAGAAGGACGAAACCGAAAGAGCCGTGAATCAGATCATCGGAACCTTGCCGCCGATGGAGCAGGAACTCGTCTTAACCAATTGGCTCCAAGATTACGCGATCTCCGCCTCGGAATGGCCCAATCTTCAGCCGTCTTACGATCGCTGGTGCAATTCGACTCGACAACTCACCGGCTGATCGGTGGATCCATGGAAGAATTAGTTTTACTTTTTACAAATGGTTTGAAATTTGTGAAATATTTATTTGTATTGAATAAATAGTTAGGGTTCAGATTAGTGTTTAATTTCTCATCTTAATTATTTATATTTAAATATTTTTTATAATGTTTAAATATAAATAATTTTCAAATTAAAAGGCTGTTACTTATATTTTTGTTATTTAAATTCAAATTTAATTAATTTAAAAAATATTAAATTGGGTAGTTTTTTTTTTCAACGACTGCTTGAAAAAAATGAAATATATATTTAATTTGTATTGACTAAGTTTAAATTGAATATCATACATATTTGTTGACTTTGAATATGTCTAATTTGTAAATTATATATATTTTTTAATATGAACATTATTTATTCTAATAATTCTAATTTTGTTGCAAATATCGTACATAAAACATGTTCGATATGAAATTAATGCGTTCAGAGTGGAATTGTAATGTGTTTGGAAACTCGAGATTGTAAATGGATTCGAGTCATTACGAAACTCAGTCATACAAAATCTTGTAATTTTGAGCGGGTTCTTGCTATGTAGACCATAACGGGCAGAATAGGGGTCATGGTCTTAGTGCATATTAAGGGTATGAATAATATTTTTTAATGTCTAAATATAAAGAATTTTTTTTTTTTATAAGAATTTAAAAAATATGTATTTTAAGCTAATTTTGGTTAAACTTGGCAAAGTTCTAATAATTGTTATTTGAAGTTAATTACATAAAAGAAAGGTTGTCAAATTCTGGGGGGTAATTTTCTTCGTATATTTATATTAAAGGGAAAAGGAAAATTGGGTGCGAAGACAAATACAATCTTCGTCGTGTTCGGAGGAGATTCTTCCCTTAAAGAAATTTCTGTGAAATCGTCGATCCTCCTTCTCTCGATTCCCCCAATTCCCTTATTCATCTTCTTTTTTCTTGCTTTCATCCAATTTTCAAATCCAAATCTCCCATTTCTCTGAATCTCCTTTTATGGAGAACGAAACCACCATTAACGCCACCAAACTTGGCTCCGATGGAGTCAAGCCAACCCCGGCTACCACTACCACCGCCTCTTCCGACCATGAACAAAACCCCACTTCCAATCCATCGCCACCCTCTGTTGCAGACCCCCAGAATGACCCTACTGGATCCGACTCCGCCTCCCTTCAAACCCCTTCTCGCCACTCCTCCAGAACTCCCTTCACTAATCTCACCCAGGTCGATGCTGACCTTGCCCTCGCTCGTACCCTTCAAGAACAGGTTCTCTCTCCCTCCTTCTCTTTCTCTCTCGATGTCACTGTTTATAATCTCTTCTTGTTCTCTTCAATTTCCGCTTTATTTATTTTATTTTATTTTATTTTTTCGTATTGTTCTGTGTTCAATTCGGTCTGTTGTCGGCTGCTTTTGGAGCTTTTTGATGGAAATCTCATATTGATTTTGTTCCCGTGCGGGTTTTTAAGAATTTTGATTGGGTGATGGACTTCATGTTCTCCTTTGTGGCTTTCTCAGTAGCAAATAACTATTGATTATCTGATTGTGTTTTATTGTCCTTGATTGCCGTGATTTCTAGCATCGACTTCATTTGACTTTATTAATTTTCTGCTGGCTTGCTAGGGAAGTTGTTCACAAGCAAAACATCAATTGTATCATGAGCATGCTTTTGTTTCTTTTCCTTTATCTATCGATATTATTTGATTATTTGTCTTGTTAATTATGAGCAAATGCTTGTCACTTAGTGCAAAGTGTTTGAATCCTGATTTGGTTCTGATGATTTTCGTGCTTGTAGAGGGAAGAGTATATATAATATGCATGATTGATTGACTTATTACTACATTGTTGTTCAGTTGAAAGTTCGTTTTTAAATCTTGAGTTTGTCTTGTCATGTTTTTAGCAATTGAAAGTGTTATGGACTGGGAGAATTTGCATAGACTATGTCCGCATCTTATTTGCACAGGATGGTTGTCTTTATTTTGGTTGTAGGAGCCTCTATATTTTGCAAGAAAAAAGGTCTTTAGTGATATTTTGAATTGACAATGGCTAATTATGAGCAGGAAAGAGCATACCTGATGCTCAGAATGACGAGTGAGGGGAGTGATTTTGGAAGCTGGGAAGCTGGAAGTTATGTATTAGACGATGAGGATGGTTTTGGTGATCCCCATGACCATACAGAATCTGATGGGGATGATGACGAGTTTGATGGAACAGATGTCAATGATGATGATGATGTCTTTGATGTGCATGCTCATGAAGATGGAGAAGATAATAATCCCAACTTTGAACTTGATCCAGGTAATTTTTCAAGCGACGAGGCTTATGCTAGAGCCTTACAAGATGCTGAAGATAGAGAAATGGCTGCCAGATTGTTGGCCCTTGCAGGATTACAAGATCGTGAGTATACGTGCCATCTGGCTCCCTTTGTAATGGATACTTATGTATAGGTCTCTTAATCTTGTAAGACTAAAATATTTTGTTTTATCTTGTTGTAGAGGATGCAGATGACACTGATGATCAAGGTGAAAACTCCCAGGTATTTCCTTTAATTTTCCACTTCATTTTTGTTGCACTCAATTTTTTTTTATTAACACTTTGTACATTTAAATTCACTTAGAACTACTGAAACAGACAACGTTGATCCTGAAAATCCTCACCGTATGGAATTCATGCGGAATAAGGGAAATCTTATGTGGAAATCCTTGTTACTGTTAAGTAGCTAGATGCGGAACTGGAATTGACGCAGATTGAGGAAAGTCTATGTGGAAAACATTGTTTTAACTTTCCCCTCTTTGGTAGCTCGGAAGCCACAACTTATAAATTCACTTATTGATCCAAAGAGACTCACAGCTAAAACTTTCTATTCCCTTATCTTTATAGTTAGTTTTGTTTGCTTGGTTCCGTTTGTTGGCCTCTCCTGTTTTATGGTTCCTTGTATACCTTCATTTTTCACCATGAAAACTGGTCTCCATCTTTATTTTTTTACTTCCCTCTGTCCAAAACCCTCAAGTGCTTGATTGTAGAAAAGAAGTTCCATCCATCGTTCTACCTTTGGCCATAAGATCCTGATTCCCTCACTCACAAGTTCTAGTATGATTCAAAGCCATCATGGCCTTTTTTTTTGGGGGGGGGGAGGGGAGAATTTGGTTTTGGATGAATAGAAGAATTTTCAAAATTTGTTCTCGATTGGATGCTTTTTGGGATCTTGTCAGATATATATACTTTTTTAATTTTTTGTGGTGTTCTTTGTCCAACCTTTTTATGATTTTACTTCTTCTTTGATCTGTGCAAATTAGGATTTTTTTTGTAGCTCCCATATTTTCGTGAGGAATTTCTTACTCTTTTTCTGCTCCTTTATGTCACTTCTCTTTTCCTAAAAAAACAAAAACTGTCCTGTGTGTTTATGTTAACCACAATTACTCCTTCGAAAAGCATCCTTGTGTCTCCATGCTTCTTAGGCTCGTTTTTTCCACCCAAAATCCTCCTTCCAAGATGATGTATTTCTATATTGTTAGTATTCTCTCAATATTAACTAGAGCTTCAAAAGTTAAGAGGTATTCGTTGACATGATGTTAGGAAAACTGGTTTGTGCCTAAATCCATGGGCATAGCCACTGTAATCACCAATGAGAATGAGATTCAGGCTGCATGTTATGTCAAAGCAGCATTTAGGAGAACCATGTTAATCTCTATGATAATTTTGGTAAGCCACAATTTTTTGCCTTTGTGGCAATCTTTTTTTTTTTTTTTTTTGCTACTGTTTGAGGTATTTGGATTAAAAGAAATATCAGGATTTTTATAGAGGTAGAGAGATTGAGTGAGGAGGTGTGTGAGGAAGCTAGATTTAGCAATGTCCCCTTGAGGGCATTGGTCAATAGACTTTTTTATCATTATAGTCTTGGTTTGATTTTGTTGGATTGGAGTCCATATTTATAGTTAATTTTTGGGCTCCCTCTCGATATCTTGTTTTTCGGCAGGCTATTTTCTGTATAACTTTATATTTCTTTCATTTTTCTTAATGAAAGCTCGAGTTGAGGTCTACACTATGGTCTAGCCAGCATGGGAAGTTGTAAACAGCTTGAAAATGAATATTCTCGTGGATGAGGCAGATGAAAGTTTCGTTGGTATTAGCATTGTTCTTATCTTTCTGTAAGGTTTGGAATACTTTTATGAAGTTACCTTTGAAAATATTTTGACCCTTAATAACCAACTCATTGAAATAGCCAGCCAATCTAAGACTATATGAAGTTGCCTTCGAAAATATTTCTCCCTTGGATCATCCTTTTAGTGGAGTTTATTAAAAGTCTATCAGTCCGACTCTTAGGGATTGTCTTTGTAGCTTTCAACTTCAGCGAATGGAATGGCCCATTCAGGGTGATTCCAGTAGGATAGTGATTGAAGATGACTCATTGATAGGCCCCCAATTACAGAAGTGTGTACACGTAAGAGAATCAGGAATGTGTAGTAGGGCCCAAAGTATTTTGTTTGTGAGAATGGGCTGGTGTTGGTTATAAAGCGTTCTGTCTTGTTGAGTAGGGTATCTTTTTGAATATCAATATATCTTTTCAACTCGTGAAAAATATTCTGCTTCTCAAATTTGACATAGTGAAATTCCTGATTATAAAATTGCTGTCAATTAAGTTAACTAATAGAAGATCTGTATTAGTTAAATAAGGCATTGGCATTGACTTCTTGTTCTAGGTCTGCATGAGGGTCTTCAAAAGACCATTTGTTTGGTGACGTTGAAATCACCCACCACTCCCATAACCCAAAAGCAGCAAATAGATTACGAAAGGCCTTTGATTCTTGTAAAAGTTATCTTTATCTTTACACTCGCAAGAAAGAGCGACCTCCACTTTTTTTGTACATAGTTTGTCACAGCCATCCGTTTTTTTTTCTAACTGGAGGTGTGGCTAAGGTCACCTTCATAACCTTCTCCCTTCTGTTCAACCATCAAGGTGAAAGTTTTTCTTATGCAAAAGAAAAGGCTCCGAGGGGGGTAGATCAACTATCAAAATACCACCAGAACAATGCTCACATCAACAGATGACCAGTATGGGTGGCATGATGAAAATCTCCAAGGACCTCACTAGCTTCCTATCTACTAAAGGAGATTTGGTCTTTTGATGGTGGATAATCATATGTGGACTAACTTGGAATTTGGTGCCTACGTGGAGCCTGCATTTACTACAATCTGTTCATTCTGCCGGAAAGCTTTTATTATCCTCGATCAGCTTCCATTACCTCAAAGGCCTCTCCTTGGATCATTTTCCCCTCTTGTTTTATCTGTGGACAATACATTTATACATCTCAACCACACTGCAGTTATTTATGAAAATGTCCACTGTGCATGCTCAGCCACATAGATTTCAAGCCCTCAGTGATCTAGTTAGCATTCATCCCAACTTTTTTATAGTAAGACATCCTTAGACGCATCCTTCTGATGAGAAGCTGCTGAATTCTTGCCACTGCTGGAGTCCACTCCATTTGGACATTGACTAGTGGTTTGAATGTTGTTATTATCCTTATCTGTTTGTCTGTCTTGTCCCCTTTCTGTTGTCATCTACAAGTTTAAACGCATGACCGATCTCCCCTGGCAATGAGTCGCTTTTTTTTTTCTGCCGGTCTTCCCTGCCAATTAAAAGCTGGATGTTAGAATGAGCAAGAATTTAACCTGTTATTTTCCTTGAGAGCCTCCATCCTACGTTGGGATTAACACAGTGAAATGACACTTCAACCTGATGCCAACCTCTAACTCTAAAACAAATAGGATTTTCTGTGTTTATTCCAGAAACCTTACCATTGAATCTAGAAGCTTCCGTATTCCCCCCATCAGTTGGGACCTTTCCCACCTTAATCCATGTTCAATAAGAGAGGGCAAGGCAATGTGTTTCACTGTTTCTGTGAACAGTGAGTCAGCGTCACCGTTCGAATTTCAGCTGTTGGACTTGTATTGTCACCCAGTGCTATGATGAATAAACAAGTCTTCCCCATTGCCTTCATTACACTTCAAAAGAGCAATTGTGGCATACGAGCACTGTGGGATAGGCTTCTGTCATCAGCAGATATCTCTTTTATCCTTCCTGGTTTTTTTCTAAATTCTCGTTGCTCATAATTTTCCATGTTTGTTCATATATTACTTTTGTAAAATTGTAGCTTTTGAACTAGTTAGGATAGAAACAAGCTTTGAATCCGAACCCAGAAAGTAGCTATACTCTGAATATTAGATGACACATCTGATTTATTGGTCTATCAAAAGTACTCATCAAGGTTTGGTTTGCAGGATACGTGGGAGGATGTTGACCCAGACGAACTGTCATACGAGGTGAGCTTAGCTGGCTGGAGTGCCCATGCTTTATTGTTGTTTATTCCTGAGAGGATTGTTAATATTCCAGGAGTTGCTTGCATTGGGTGAAGTGGTAGGAACTGAGAGTAGAGGGCTATCTGCTGATACAATTGCTTCCTTACCCTCCATAAACTTCAAGGCAGGGAGCGGTCAGACTGGAAGCAGTGATTCGTGAGTGATCTCAGGGAGTGTTGGTCTTTTTTGCCATTCTTATCTGGCTCGATTAGCTTACGACTCTCTCTTTTCAGGTGCGTGATTTGTCGATTGGATTTTGAGGACGATGAAACCTTGACTGTTCTCTCCTGCAAACACTCCTACCATTCGGAGTGCATAAACAATTGGTTAAAAATAAACAAGGTATGCCCATTTACTACATGCACCTACCAATAATCACGAAGCCGAGATAAGTAAAGGGGTTGGTGTTGTGCAGGTGTGCCCTGTTTGCAGTACTGAAGTCTCCACGGCTACGGGAAGCAGTTAGTTGTGTAGCATGTGGTATTGAATTGTACTAAATCAAACATTTTACATATATTATGTTAAATCACGAAGGATTTTAATTTGTTTGTTATGGTTTTGCAATACCCATTTCGGTTCAAATATCTGTGGAAAACGTACACTATTATCTCGGGTTTCATTCTGTAAACCAAGCCCCTAGGATGAATCTATTTGTTTTTGCCCCCTCTTTTTTGAGCTTCTCGTTTTGTATCCCAAATCTTGCCTTGTCGTGTTGAATGTGTAAACACATAAAAGTGGCAGTGGGGCAGAGAGCCATGAATTTGGAAAAATCTTGCAGGCTATTCTTTTACTCTCTTGGGATGAATCCTACGTTCATCATGTACTTATAAATTGGATATGATCACGTACTTATGTTGATCATGTACTTATAAATTGGATATGATCTCATGTACTTATAAATTGGATATGATCTCATGTACTTATAAATTGGATATGATCACGTACTTATGTTGTAGGAATTGGATTTAAGTCTCATCAATGGACTCCTAACGTAAATTAAACAGAAATTCAGTAAAAGATAGGGTGAGTCAAGAACAACGAACTTGAGATTCATTTTACTATGGTTACTTCTCTTTACTTTCTTTGTGCGTGTGTGAGATATATATATATATATATATATATATATATATATATATATATATATATATACATACATACATACATACACAGTTAATAATATCAGCCCAAGTATTAATTACACGACCTTGTCTATCAACTACTGATTGGTTGAAATTGAAACCATTTAGGAAGAAGCTTAAAGAATGAGAGTTGTTGAAACTAGTATTGGAAAATCAATGGGTCAGCTACGATATTATAAATTTCTTCCTCTCGACCGAATCTACTAATAATCTATATATTATTAGTAGAATAATAATTTGAAAAAAAAAAAACGAGATTAATTAGATAAATATATATTTTTATTAGGAGAAAAACAAGCGCTCGCCCCATCAGGAAAGAAAACATAATTACAGAAATGGATGAGGCTAAAAGATCAAATAAATAAAAATTGCTCGTTTGTTCCCTTTTTTTTTTTTTTTTTTTAATCATTATTATTTAATTTTCCGGGGGGGTTTATATATTTCTTCATACATCGCCGCCGTGCTTTTCGACTGGGCCGCCGATGACCGCTTCGTTAGGAATGTACTTGGTCCAGAACCAGTGCGCCTTCCACACTCTGTTCATCTCTTCAATCGGCACGTTCTTCGTCTCCGGCAAGAAGAAATAGATGAACACGGTCATTATCAACACAAACCCTGCGAAGAAGTAGAACAGTCCGAATTTCATGTGGCAAAGCATCGACAGGAACACCTGAGCGATGACAAAGGTGAAGAACATGTTCACTGATACGTTGATTGCTTGTCCTGCAGATCGGATTTCCAGCGGACAGATTTCACTTGGTACCAACCAACCTAATGGTCCCCAAGACCAGGCGAATGCCGAGACGTATACGCAGATTAGGAATAGAATCATGTTTGCGTCGACTTTTGTTAGGGTTCCTTCTCCGTTGAGTCCGAATTTGACGCCGATTAGCGTTCCGACTAGGATTTGGCAGATGAACATCTGTACTCCGCCTTCCAGGAACAGGATTCTTCGCCCAAATTTGTCGACTGTGAAGATTGAGACTAGGGTTGCCAGGACGTTGACGCCGCCGCTGATGACGGCAGATATTAGAGATGCGTCGTCGCCGAATCCGAGAGTCTTGAACAGAACAGGAGCGTAGAACATGATGACATTGATGCCGGTTAGTTGTTGGAAGAATGGGATTAAAGCGCACATCACGAGTTGAGGTCTGTATTGTGGTTTCATTATGTTGGTCCATGGATGATCTACCATCTTTGCTGATTCACTTGCATCGACTAGGTCTTGGAACTCCTCTTGGACATCGTCAGTACCACGAACTTTCTGTAGCATCTTCTTAGCCTTCTCTGTATATCCTCTTTCGAGAATGGAGTTAGGAGTATCGGGAAGGAAGAAGGATCCGACGGTCATCATCACGGCGGGGACTGCGGCGAGAGCCAGTGAGACTCTCCACCCCCATCCGCCTGCAATTTTGGCTGTACCGACATTTACAAGATTCGCCACCAAGATGCCGATTGTGATGGCCATTTGGAAGCCCATGTTCAGAGCACCTCTGATTTTGGCTGGTGCCATTTCAGAAAGGTAAACTGGCACAGACTGCACACCAAAAACAAATCCATTCAATGAATCAAATTGAGCAAACAATTACTGCTACTTCTGCATTGAATCGATTCATTTTCTTTAATATATTGTCTGTATTTCTGCAATGACAGCATACCTGATTGGCAAATCCAACACCAACACCAAGCAACAAACGGCCAATGATGAGCAGTGCAATGCTATTAGCAACACCATTGAGAATGGAACCAAATAAGAAGGAAAGACCTCCAATAAACATGGATGGCTTGCGGCCAAATTTCCGGGTAATGATGGACGCGGCGAAGGAAGCCACCAGAGCGGCAAGGTAAAGGGAAGAGGTAAACAATGTTAGTAGTTCACTGTCAAATTTACAGTACTCGCTCTCATGGACACTTTTCATCTTCTTCACAACAGATGGGAAAAAATGAGCCAAGAAACTTGGCATTGAAGTAACCCCACCTGCCAAAACATCCCAAAGCCAAAAAGTTTTAAACAAATTTCTTCCATTAGGGGGAAAAAAACCTTAAACTCAAAGGATCGAGGATCAAAAGCTACCAAACAAACAAACAAACCTGAAATTCCAAGATCATAACCAAAGAGAAGACCTCCCATGGCAGCCACCAAACAGGTGACAAGTACAAATGTAGTGATTCCACCCTCATAGTTCCGTCCTTCCTGAACAACAAATCCTCCTCCAGCCATCTCTCTTTTTTTTTTTTTTTTTTTTTTTCTT